ATCTGCTTCCACATCACAAGGCGCCGCCCTTAGAGGACACTGCAACCCCATCAATAGAAGGAAGAGCTCCAGACCAATCACAGAGTCCAAGGACATTATTCATCAGGGTCATGTAATGGGCAAGACGGCCAATGCGTTTTAGGTACCAAAATCCTCCTCCCCCTTCATCAGGGACTGAATACAGAGCGCCACTTGAACTATGAGAGTCAAAATGCCAATCTGGCACAAAGCCGTCACTAGCAGATCCTTTCAGTGGTGAGGTGATCGTCCTCCATGGATCGGACTTGTTTCTCCAGCACATCCCACAGATGATCCATTGGACTGAGATCTGGAGAATTTGGAGGCGGAGTCATCACCTCAGACTCGTTGTTGTGTTCCTCAAACCATTCTTCCCCCATGTGTGCAGTGTGGCAGGGCTCATTATCCTGCTGAGAGAGGCCACTGCCATCAGGGAATATCGTTATCATGAAGGGGGGGACTTGGTCAATGTTTAGGTCGGTGGGACGTGTCAGAGTGACATCCACATGAATGGAGGACCCGAGGTGTCCCAGCAGAACATTGCCCAAAGCATCACACTGCCTCCGCCATCTTCTCTTCTTCCCATAGTGCATCCTGGTGCCATCTCTTCCCCAGGTAAGTGTCACACACACCCCGCCATCCACATGATGATTCATCAGACCAGGCCACCTTCTTCCATTGCTCCGTGGTCCAGTTCCGATTCTCATGTGCCCATTGTAGGTGCTTTTGGAGCCCCACTACCCCCCCCTCCCACTTCCTGGTGTCATTGTCATATAACCCCCCCACTTCCAGGTATCATAGTAATACATCCCCCACTTCCAGGTGTCATTGTCATATAACCCCCCCACTTCCAGGTATCATAGTAATACATCCCCCACTTCCAGGTGTCATTGTCATATAACCCCCCCACTTCCAGGTATCATAGTAATACATCCCCCACTTCCAGGTGTCATTGTCATATAACCCCCCCACTTCCAGGTATCATAGTAATACATCCCCCACTTCCAGGTGTCATTGTCATATAACCCCCCCACTTCCAGGTATCATAGTAATACATCCCCCACTTCCAGGTGTCATTGTCATATAACCCCCCCACTTCCAGGTATCATAGTAATACATCCCCACTTCCAGGTGTCATTATCATATAACCCCCCTCACTTCCAGGTATCATAGTAATACATCCCCACTTCCAGGTGCCATTGTAATAATGTGGGTGACACTGATAAATGACCCTCCTACCTCCCTGTGCTGACACTGCCCGCCCTGATCCGGTCCTCCCACCATTGAAATCCCCCCTCACCGATCAGGTTGGGCACGAACAGGAAGATATTCTCCTCCGCCATCTTTTCCCGTGACGTCACGGACCGGACTCCGCTCCCAGGCAACCAGCTGAGAGCAGCGAGAGCGGGGATAGAGCGCCGCCTGCGGAGCCATAGAGAGCAGTGCTGGGAGACAGATAGAAAGTAGAGCTCTGCAGCGACACCTGGTGGCTGACAGTTCCCTGGGAGGAGTGAGCGGGATAGAAGCTGGAGAAGGAGGTGTGACGATGCTGATGATGATGGTGGAGAGGAGGATAATGATCCTGACTAATGATCATCCTGCTAAGAATAGCCAGGAAGCTGCAATTTACAGGAAACAATTACGTTTCTAGTGCGGGGTAGGCAATTTCGGCCTGTGCTTTAACTACAAATCCCAGCATGCATCTGCCCTTGGGAGTCATACCTGTGGCTGTCAGATTCTTGCAATGCCTCATGGAACTTGTAGTTTCACAACAGCTGGAGGGCCAGCACTGACCTCTCCTGTTCTGGGGTGTGCTTCTGATGACAGTAACATAGTGAATCGTCTTTATTTGGTGTTACTATGCTGACTATACACCATACAATCTGATTGGATACAAATCTGTCAGGTTGTGTAGGTAAACCCTTGCGTTACGTCTCAATCAGATTGCAGCGTGTGTCACAGAGCAGCAAATGATGCAAAATAGGTCAGACTGGTTCGGGAAGCTGATAGGGCCAATAAATCACCTTGAGGGCCCATTCACTTGTTTCCATTCATGTGCGATGCATCAACACGTCATGTGACTAGTTATGTGTGTTGCGTTAGGGCGGCTGTTCTATCAAAAGCTCCAACTCATCGAAATCTCCAACTACCTTATTTCCGGTGCTTAGAAAGACTGGAGCTCCGTACAGTTGCGGTGCGCATGCGCGCAGAGCGTTTTCAGAATACTCATCGAGTTTCCCACCTGCTGAATATTGTTAAAATGCAGCCGTACAGAAGCTCCGTCAGTCTTTGTTGTTTTGCAGTCTAACGCCGTCTGGTCGAAATCTCCAACTTGCAAGTACCCGGCAGTGAGGTAGTTGGAGATTTCGATAGAACACCCGAGTTCATCTTTAAAGGAGAACTATGAGGGGGGAGGGGCTTTTCACTCACCTCATAGTTCTAGCCGACCTGTGACAATGAGACTGTCACAGGTCGGCTCAGTAGATGCTGCCCTGCGTGTGAGCCCAGAGTGTCCCATCTCCCCCACAGCTCCCCCTGGTGGTGGAGGCGGCCAGTACTGGTCATGGTGCATCTAATATGTGCAAAACACACAGCTAGGCAACCTCAGCGCTCCAGCTGTTGTGGAACTACAAGTCCCATGAGGCATTGCAAGACCGATAGCCACAGGCATGACTCCCAGAGGCAGAGACATGATGAGGTTTGTAGTTCCAGCAAAGCTGGAGTCCTGGCGTTGCCTACCCCTGTGTATTCCAACATGTCACAGGTGGAATGCCTGTTCTAGGTCAGTGAGGATGAAGATGACAACGCTGAACCTCACCCCTTCCAATAGAAGCCACCAGTGGAAGATTCCGATATTTTGTCAGGTCTCAGAATCTGACCAATCCTGGAGCTTGTTCTGCAGGCGGAGGGGCTCAGGTCACCCTACTGGACTGACCCAAAAACAAGACACCAGCCAGATAATTCCAGATAACAAACTGTTATTTATTCAT